CTCTTTCTAGTGGTATAGTTTATTTTTCGTATAAGAGAACACGAAATTTTACATTTTTTCCGATCATAGTAATTTAATAGGCAAAATTTAAAAATTCTCAAATTTTTGGCTATAAAGCAAAAATCAGAAGTGGTAACACACACATTCTTATTCACCAAGGCTTGAACTATAAGAAAATGCCTGTTACCAGCTTCTAACATAAAGTTGCCATCAAACTCTCTTTAGAGGCACTTTTTGCCACCTTGGCCGGCCGACTACTTGGGATAGCTTTCGTAGAATTGCTTCATGCCAAACTCCTGTCCAATCATCTCTCGGATAGTTGAAAACAGGCCCTCTACATCATCCAATGTTCCACTTCTTGGGTTAGCGTGCTTTATCCCTCTCATTGTGTAATCCAATGCGTGTAGAATAAAGCCTTCAAGGTTTGCAACTAATGCAACAACTACCTCCCTTGTTAACCCCCTGATACCTTTAATGGGTCTAAAAAGGATAAACAAAAAATTTTGTATCAAAATATCCTCATATTATTGCATAAAAAATCAACGAAAATTTGCATGTACAATAAAGACTTCCCGAATTTGCTTGAATGCACACGAGACAATAATATGAAATCAAGGTGGGCAATGATATCAATTGTAAAATAGTAAGTTTTCATTGCCAGCCAGCAAATTCGGGAAATTTCTATTGTTGCATCTGCTTGACATATGTTAACCCATTGGCGGCTGAACTGGCCACATAACAGATTTTATCATGTCTATAAACGCCATAGTCGGTCAGACGATTTTACTCGTAAAGGGGACACCTCCTGGCGGCAATGGGTTATAAAAGAACTGTACATATCACATTAGAAATCCCAGGAGGGGGGGGGGGGTAAATCCAAAAAAAAATACCCCCAAAGAAAAATGCCTGGAAAAAAAGTCACATAGCCATTATGTCAGAGGAGGTTAAATGCAAAAAAAATCCTGCAGAGACATGAGAAAGAAAGAAAAAATCTCAAAAATTTTATACCCCCCCTCCTGGGATTTCTAATGGCCCGCCTCTAAAGTAAATTCAGTTATTAATTCATGTTTCATTCTGTATTCCCCGAGCCGACGGCGCGAAGTGCCGTGCGAGGGTACTAATTCCCCCCGGCTATTTACACCCGGGGAAACGAAAGCATTAGCGAAGTCTAAAGTTCATCAATCATCGCGGGCGCTGACCAACAAAGGGCGATCTTGAGTGGGTGGTCATCCTTATCTCAAAAATATGGCAAGCAAGATTTCAATTTTAAAAGACATATGTTTGGAAAATCGTTTCATATACAACAAGCTTGAAGCAATTTTGTTTGAAGGAATGAGAAGAATTGGTTTACTACGGGAAATCATGAAATATACGGCAAGTTTGCTTTGAATATTTTTTAAATGTTTACGAATTTTGTTGCTTTAATGTTTACGTAATAAAAAACATGAACTATAGAAGCTCCAAGTTTCATAAATTACAGTTTAATTTGAGAAAAAATCTTAACATGTAAAGGCGAACAAATTGATTTGAAGACTGAACTGAAATTACCTAACAATTTTATTTTATTTGTATTAAACTTACCATGTTTTGTTAAGTAAAAATAGTTTATCGGCAAAATGTAGGTTTACTTGAATGAACATTTCAAAACAGTTTACGAAGCGTTTCAAGTTCAATTTTACATTAAATCAAAGCTCACAAAATGCAAAATAATATACCTACAGTATGTATTTCGGAAATTTATTGTTGTATAGTTAAAAGTACGAATCTTTCAACTATTTTGCAGTTTTGTACAAAATAATTATATGAAAATAAAAATTTAAGAATATCGTGTTGTCATGGCAACACTTGAGCGCGAGCCTGCGTTCAGTGCTGGTCATTTCTGAATACTTCATGTTTAATGTATGGAATATTGGCGAGGGGTTACTGCATGCATGTATTTCTAGTTACCTGTTAATATCGAGTGTGGAGAAGTCAGGATTGTTGGAATGCCAAGGCATCCAATCTTCTAATAGCCATTAAGAAAAGTTATCGTTCATTTTTAATACAATATAGTGGCCTTGACCATTTTAACATTTCTTAATGTAAATTGCATGTTTATATAGACTTAGATCATATTAATTTAGTTTAATATTATCTGTATTTTGCATGTATAACTTAATGTCAATTTTCCTGAGGGCCACAAGTTTTTTAGCCCCTGGCTGTAATGTGTTTTTACCCTTGTGAAATAAAGTTTTAATAAATAAATAAAATTAATAAATAACAATAAATAAAAACGTGCATGTCCAACTAGTGTTTGAACTCTCACTTTATCACCGATTTGAAGACTTGGTAAAGGATGTGCTGACTTGTCGAAATATCTCTTCTGCTGTAATCTTTTCTGCAACAACTGCTGATTTACTGGCCGAGGATCAATCACTTTTGGAACCAGCAATGGACAAGCTGTTGGTAACTTGGATCTCAATCTTCTGGCTTGAAGACGTTGTGCTGGAGAACCAACAACTTGATCATGTGGTGTGTTTCTTAGGTTGAGAAGTGCTACGTAAGGATCAGTTCTGTCACATTTGCACTTATCCAGCAATCTCTTGGCTGTTTGAACTGCTCTCTAGATCAGGCCATTCCTTTGGGGAAATCCAAGACTGCTGGTTTTGTGGATGAAACCCCATTCGTTGGAGAACTCCTTAAATTCCAAACTTGAATACTGAGGGCCATTATCTGTAAATAATTCATCTGGTATTCCAAATCTCAAAAAATGCACTTTCAACTTCTGTAGAACTATCCTGGATGATGTTCCAGTTTAAAGTATTTAACTCGAACCAACCAATATGAGTTTGCTGTCATAAGATAATCTGTTCTGTTCCATGTGAAGAGATCAGACGCAACAATAGACCAAGGTCATACTGGAACTTCATGAATCTTAAGGGGCTCTTTTTGTTGATGGCGTCGGTAGGCATTACAAACAGAACAAAGCGACAACAAGGTTTGAATGTCCTTTTGACATTGCTGGCCAGAGAATATATCACACACTCTGTTCTTCATTGCTTCTAAACCAGGATGTCCTTGGTGGATCTGGTTGAGATAGTCAGATCTCAAAGTAGATGGAACCACAATCTTTTCACCTTTAAAAACAATGTCATCTTGTAAAATTCCATGTTCAATTCAAATTTGGCACGTTTTGGCTTTCTACACTCGATGAAAGTTGATTAAAAAAATGCTAGTCATTGAATGTTTGAAAATATTCTAATCCTAATTAAAAACTGTGCAACTATAAAAGTTGCTCTCTAAAGTTAAAGAATACCTGTAGCTCTGGGTCTGTTTCTTTCAATGATGGTGGTTATCAGCTTAGCCAATACTGGGTCGGAAGCTGTTTCTTTAATTCATCCATTTTCCAGGGTGCAATTGCAAAATTTTGTATTCGCCTTCCTCTTCCTTTGCAGCTTCCTCCAAATGTGCACGAGACAACATGTACGCGATGTATAACTCTGTGCCTTTCTCTGCTTTCCCTGCAGGCGACGATAAATACCCATGTTGACATGTGTTGGTTTCACAGTTGGCTGGTCTTGCAATGCCGATCTCTCCTCCTCTTGGAGAAGCTCTGGCCCAGGAGCCTCTCCTACTTTTGGAGAACCTCTGGCCCCAGAAGTTTTTTGACGCCTTATTAAAGGTGTGACTGACTGGGTAGTATTAAAGCTACCAGTGTTCCCATGATACGAAGATTTGTGAGTGGGAAGAACATGAGCGCCTATTTTGTTCTCATCCCCAATGTTCTTAAGTTGTTTCTGCAAATCATCGCCAAACAACCAATCAGTGAAGGGCAGCTGTGGCGAGCAAAGGGCAGTATAATCCTTGCCAATATCAGGTTTCATAAACATTTTTTTTTTAATATTCAATTCATAATTTGTATGTGTAAGGAGTGACAAGGATTCTAAGGCAAGTCTTTTCACTTGCTGTGCCTTATCTCCATTTAAGTCTCCCAACATACATAGGTCGGCTATAGACCTTTCCAAGGTTAACGATGCCATCATGAAACACAATAGTGCAAGGGGTGCAAATACAATGGAATTCCCTATAGGTAAATTTGCAAGGGGTGCAAACACAATGGTGAAAACAATAGATTCAAGATGGCGTCCTTAACCTTGGAAAGGTCTATTTTAATAACAGGTACAATGCCTTTTATTAAAACTTGTTGTATTTTGTAAAGATTAAAGTCACGTTTCTTTGTGTATTCCCACAGGCGACGATAAATACCTGTGTTGACATGTGTTGGTTTTTTACAGTTTCATATTCGGCTGGTCTCGCATGGCGATCCATTTTTTCTTGCAAAGTTTTGTCCGCCATTTTGGAATGGAACATCTTAGCAACTAGTTTGGCCAACTGACTGTTTGCGATCTTGTTGCCAACAGAGTCTTCTGACTCGTATTCTTTATTTAGCTGGCTGAGTAGTTTGTCCTCTGCCTCTTGTTCACAGTCACCAGGGTCTACATCCTCTGACGGAGCGTACAAGGTTAGTAGTTGGTTTAATAACCCTTCGCGTTTGTCTTCTTCATGAGGGTTTGTCCTCATGGACGAAGTGCATGCTTTTTGGCGGGAGGACAACTAAGGTCGCTCTCATTTCCCTTACATTTTAACAGATTGGGACTGCTTGTTTCGCCACTCACGGAGGGCTGTTTGTTAATGTCAGCAACGACATTTCTGGCGCGAAGGCAGGAGCTGCCGGACCAGTGTTTCCAACCCGAGAGAGCATGGCTTCTCGAGGTTGGTTTTCTTCATAATTGCTTCGAAGGAGCTTGTCATCATTAAGTGTCGCTTCTTGATCACCAACAGGTGTCTCTTTATTTAGTTGTACTTTCCTGCCAGTTGTAATATTTCAAGTAACTCCAAGAACAAAATTTATTTAGTTGTACTTTCCCCACCAAAAATTTCAACTGTACAGCTCGAAGGTTCAACTCGCACTGACCTCCTGGTATGCCTTCCTATCTTATGTGACTTCTGAGTGAATGCTAATGCGAGGTAGAATGCATTTTTAAGTGAATACACTATTTGCTGAATGTCATTCCATGGATTTCCCCTCTTAAACTACCCAAATGTGTGTACTAACTCACCACAATTTGGAAAGCATTTTGTGATGAACATGTAGCATATTTAAATGACAAACATCCAACTGTATCTACTGGTATTCATTATTTTTTGCATTATTGTCGAGTTCAAGGGGACAACAAAGGTATGTTTAGCTTTAGACTTGCCACAAGTCCGCCTCAGAACTTTTTCCATATCTTTTACAAGCTGGCAAGCTGAGAGGGATGCATAGTTGAGAGCAGCACAAGGAGGCGGACTTGTTTCGTCTGCACAGTTTTCAGTCTAATTAATTATTCTGGCGTGAAAACATGAAATGTACATCTTCATGTGTTTGGGTATTAATTAATATGGGCGGTGTTATTTATATCTATTAGTTAAGTATTTATACTTTTACTCTCTGGACAATAGATATGGAAAATGATATATAAACACCACAAAAACATATTTAAGGGTCTTTTCTTCAGAGAGTATTTGTATTGAGTGTGGAAAAGACGTATCTAACGCTGATACACAATGGAGATTATAATTCAATGGCATGTCTTAACGTCTTTGGTGTGTGCGAATTTAGAAAGAGTTGCAGGAGTTATCATAGGCAAAGAAAGTTGCCTATCAAGCATAATCTGTCGATATTGCAATGAAAAAAACGCCTGTTTAATTTCTAATATTGATGCTGTAAGAGAACAGTTTAATTTATCTACAGCACGCTTGGCTGAAAAACAATCTGAACACAAACAAATGAGCAAATTGATGCTGTTCAAGTATCAGATGAATTTTTGTCAGTGAAGGTATGTCATTAAATGTGTATTACAACATTTATGAGCTATTTTATATGACAAATAATATATCTTTGAATAAGTTATCCTCTGAACTACAACAGAGTGTAGAATAAGAAAATAAGGACATGTTGAGCCTAAAACTGGCAAAAACGAAGAACACTGAGCCCGGACAAAACTTTACTGATTGTTATGATAAAAGTGCATGTATAGACTATAGGAGTATAGGTGTGTTTATTAACTCAGTTTAAAGACAATGTTAAGTCCATTATACACATCACTTCTGCTCATAACAAAGGGGGGCCCACAGATATAAACATTGCCCAAATTTTGCATCTTTCCAACTTTTTGAATTGAATTATTATTGAAACATACTCTAGTTTTATATATTCATTTACAATTGCAAACCAGAAAAATGTTAGATATTCAGTTAGTGTGTCTTACATTACAAACAGTTCAAAATGTAAACAAAGGATTTGTTTACATTACGGACTTAAAGGGGCAGTGTCACCATTTGCACATCTTTTCTGCGCACTCTTGAAAAACGTAGGAACGTGTTGTAAATTGTTCGGTTTTTACAATGCGCCATATTGTTTTGCCTTTTGGTTGTTTTGCATAATGTCATCCAAGGTGAGTAAAAATCTCCATATTTTTGCATTTTTTTAAAATATATTTGCATCAAACGATTCGAAAGTGATAATATTTTATATCACCTTCTGTAGGTTGACCGTTGTGATTGTAAGAGTTCTTATAGCGTTAAAAGAAAGGAAAACGGAACGCGAGGTTGTCCTTGCAAGGGAAAAAATATCAAGTGTTCGGCGGATTGTCGGTGCGGTACATGTGCTAAACATTGCAAGAATCAGGTAAATACGCAAGGCCAAACCAACTATGGCCAAACTAATACAACCATGTTTCAAGTGAGAATTAATTACGGATATTTGTGCTACAGGAGACTGGTGAGAATGATAGAGAACGTGAACGCCGCGGCAGACAAACTCAAAGCAATCGACAAGGTTTTCGACTAACCCACAAACCTGTGGAGACTGAGGAAATTCAACGGGAAAAGAAGCATGAAGATGTAAAGGTAGATTAGTGATCTGTTGATACAAGATTAAAAACCAGTAACTGTACACAAAAGGCATCGTCATTCAATGTGGCGATCTTGCTCGATAGAAGATCAACCCGGACTGTTTGTAATGCCTACATGTTTAATATGTAGTTGGGTATTGGCAACTTGACTATATAGCTTATAATATTACTGAGGATATAAATGTCTTGCTGTTTATATGTTGAACACTGTACGTGACAATGCCTGAATCTGTGACTGAATTAGAAAGCTACATTTCATAGATTTTTGTCTGTTCATAAATGATCCTAACCAAATAATTGGACTGTTACTATCTTCAAAACATGCATAGTTTCCATATACCAAAGCCAATAAACATTGTGTATATATTTTAGACCTTGATAAATTCACTGGATAAAAATATGGTGAGAAAATTAGCCATTCGCAGTCTTCGTAGAGGTATTGGTAGTATGGACTATATTGACATTCTCTTGATCATGGAAGATGATGAAGTTGAACGTTTGGGTGAATTTGGGCAATCATCTGATTCTGAAAATCCTATTAACCCACATCATAGTTAATAGAGGAGAGGGTTTAGAAGCTGGGGGCGTGGCCAAATTATGTTATTGTTCTCTGTCACGTGACAATACAGGTGCATCAAAATCTGTTTAGTAATAGGAGATTGTATTACAGAGGTGGCTGTAGTACTTGAAAAACGTCTTTTACAGAAAGAATATCCAAATACCAGGTGGAAATTGCTACATGTATGGTTGCGGGACTAATAGAAAACACTTTGGTGTTTGAATTCCAACAAAAGACGACGATTTATCAACGAAAATTTGTGAAGCGTTGGCGAGGCTTGTCACAAAGGACGCTGGATCGAGAGATAGATGCAAGTTTAAGAAATCAAATCACTCAACAAACACTTCACGTTTGTGAAAGACACTTTGAAAAGACCCAGCTGAAACATGTAAGTTATTTTCTTTCTCTGGTAGAGGTATTGATATTTCAGTATGAACGCTTGAAAGTTGCAACTTAGCAGAAGTACTGTATTTATTTCATGTATCAAATGATCAAATTTGTATTAACCATATGGTCATGGAGCAGGAAAAATATAAATATTAATTTGCATAAACGTGTGTTTCGGTCATTAGGTCATATTTATATAACAGTTTATAATCCTTGTGTTCAAAAAATGAAGGTATACATAAATTCAGGACACTGTCACTGAGGACAGTAGAAACATTTTCGTATACAGTATAAAACAAAGTATTAATATTCAAAGGCTATTTTAATAGCAAAAAAGTGGCATAATAAAGTAACAGGATTTTTGTTTGGGCATGTCATAGTATATGCAAGCCCCATTTACAGTTATTATAAATCTTGATTGCTGTGAATTTTAGTCATTATAATTACTATCTTAACAATACTTATATGTTAAATCAGGTATTTTATGTTCTGCTTTAGTTCCCACCTGCAAAAGGCTTGTAGCTGGTGCTATTCCTACCTTTAATATACAGTATTTGCCCCAGAAAAGCATACCTATCTATATCGACAATTGGAGCCAGGTAACGTTGCTGGTCGTCACACTGGTCAGAGGAGTAAATGGTATCGTGGATTAGAAAAGGCCTTGCTGTAACATAAAACAGAAGTAATCTAGTGAGAACTTTTGTGGGGTTTTTGTACCCAGAGCTGTCATTAAGGGCCTGTAGCTTGCCTACTTTTGTCTGAACAAAGTTCATATAAACAAACCTGTGAAGCAATAAACAAACCTTTTACTTCCTCTAGTCAGAACATCAAAATTAAAACAAAATATTAAATTATTTCAAACAGGTCAGGCTTTGATAGGATGTTTTGTAATCTTAAGAACTCTGTAGAATACCTTCCAAAATGCAGGGAATGGCATTTCCAATTGTTTAGATTTCGGGTTGGGGGCATGCACCCACTCCCAGACCCCTCTAGGAATCTTGTGCCTTCAATGTTCAATCATTTTTCAACCACCTACTTGTAAACTTAATGACAGCACTGCTTCAAAAGAGTAATATGCAATAATTTGTTCATATGTTATAAAATAATTATTAAAACAGATTATAAATTAATACGTGAACAATAAGACTAGAACAATATATTACCTTAGTTGAATAATTTGTAAAAATTTATACTAATATATACAGTAAATCACTATTACACAAAATTTATATCACTTCAAATATATATTGGTAGCCTCAACTTTGAGTTATCATAGTTTGAGATACAACAACGGCTAGAATCAGAGCACACTGATGCAGTGAATAAGTACACTATTCACATCTGAAATTGGCTGTCAACCAGGGGCATAGGAACCGGGGGGGCCAAGGCCCCCCAAGTTTTCAGAAGATGCAAAAAGTGCCCTTTTCCTGGTGGCAAAGGGCAAATGTTGTTCAGATTGCATAATTTTTGACGTACAGATGTTGCAAAGCAATATCAGTGAGGTTTTGTGGTTACCCGAGTGTCCAGGGGGCAGTTAAACAATGAAATGACCAGCCTGCTTGACGTGCACTCTTTGGCTGAGAATCGGGCCTTTCAGAACCAGAACTCGGCCTGGAGCACCACAAATGGCAAAATTTGAAACTTTGAACAGCCATATACAGTTTAACAATGTTCTCAAAACACAAGGACTCACATTCTTTTGATATTGCAATGCTATTAGATTGCTCAAAAATGTCATTCCACAAACTTTTTGCTAATGGAGGAGCTTGGACATTCTTAATAACTTTATCAACATGTAAAGAAGTAGGTTTTCCAATTCTTGTGTGCTTTCTAAAGCACGATTCAGCGATTCTAGCAATATCATCAAGTCATGAATTTGGTACCCACAGGGCTGAGGGGCCCCTCCCCAGCAACATAAGCTGGGTGGTCCAAGCTCTTCTGATTTCACTGATAATTACTAGTAGAATACAAACATTAAAAAATATTTCTGGTCTGGGTATATAATCCTTTGCACATAGGTAAAATCTTCTGGCATCCAACAGTTGGTCTACAAAGCGTTTGGAGAGGAATAAGAACTAAGTTTAATACCCTTACGTTAATATTGTACTATACAGAGGAAATATCAAAATTTGATATTTCCTCTGTATGATATCTTCTTTGTCTTATTATAAGACTTGGTCTTGGAAACAGTGGGATGGCATGAAATATCATGGAATCTTGGAATAACATTCTATTTTGATGTGACAGAATGATCAAAACTAACAAATCACATGTTAGTAGACATTGAATCACTGTATAGTAGGTCAATATCTGGACTTGTAATTGACAACTGGACGTAAGCCTTAGGGCCTACTATTTAAGACATATCTACAGTAGGTTATATTGTCTATATATAGAGTATTAATATATTTACTGGTATTAAAGCATGCAGTTTCTTCAGTGTTTATAATAACTTTAAAATATCTGCTGGTTAGCAAAGTCAACCGTTCGGGCGTATTCACCAGCATCAAAAGCACCTCGAAAAGCACAATCTTCTCTGCATGGATGAAAATATTCTTTCCTTTTCCCTAAATATTCCCTACCTCTCGAATCATCAACAATGCCTTCTCATATGCGTGATAAGTCATATAACATGGGTTTTGATTTTCCCTTTGGCAGTACTAGCTGTAGAAATATTTGTCGAGTGCTTTATATTATAAAATACTGCATCGATATTCACACAGGAATTGCTTTAATCCTTCAATCTAAACGACAAATATAAGTCAAATATTAAGTATAAGTCATCTCACTACATATTGTTTAGTTGGACACAGTATAAAGGACTTACTTCTTCAACTGAACGCGATATTTCTTCAGTTAATTCATCCGCATCGATTTGCAGCAGCTAAATAGTTTGATGAAAATCGCCTCTGTCGTTGTATCTGCATCTCCAGCACCCAGAAATGGGTGAATTTTGCTTTCTGAATCGTATGCCGAACTTGTCAAAGCCATAACAAGAACAACAATGCCTTATTTTAAAATTTATAAGCATAATATCATATTTCTGTAATACTATGCTATAGTAATTTATGAATTTGATTTAAAATATCTGCTGGTTAGCAAAGTCAACCGTTCGGGCGTATTCACCAGCATCAAAAGCACCTCAAAAAGCACAATCTTCTCTGCATGGATGAAAATGTTCTTTCCTTTTCCCTAAATATTCCCTACCTCTCGAATCATCAACAATGCCTTCTCATATGTGTGATAAGTCATATAACATGGGTTTTGATTTTCCCTTTGGCAGTACTAGCTGTAGAAATATTTGTCGAGTGCTTTATATTAGAAAATACTGCATCGATATTCACACAGGAATTGCTTTAATCCTTCAATCTAAACGACAAATATAAGTCAAATATTAAGTCTAAGGCATCTCACTACATATTGTTTAGTTGGACACAGTATAAAGGACTTACTTCTTCAAATGAACGCAATATTTCTTCAGTTAATTCATCCGCATTGATTTGCAGCAGCTAAATAGTTTGATGAAAATCGCCTCTGTCGTTGTATCTGCATCTCCAGCACCCAGAAATGGGTGAATTTTGCTTTCTGAATCGTATGCCGAACTTGTCAAAGCCATAACAAGAACAACAATGCCTTATTTTAAAATTTATAAGCATAATATCATATTTCTGTAATACTACGCTATAGTAATTTATGAATTTGATGCACCCGAAATGTCACGTGACGTACCTTTCCAACATCTGAAATTAATTAGCTCAAAAGCCTTTGAAGTTTGCCGGCCTTCCAAACCCTGTCCTCTATTAACTATGCCAGACCTCTCAACTTTGTAGAGAAGTTAAGAGTGAGACTAGTACCGAAAAAACATTTTTCAATTTTTTCGGGAAAAATTATTTCGGCGACCTCCCCCCCCCTGGTGTTTATATGAGATTTAGGGAGCACTAATATGTAAAATATCCACAAACACCAGAATTCATTACACAGAAAAAATTTTAATTTCCACTACTGTCTATGCAATGGAAGTGTTGATAAAATATTGCACCAATTCCTTTCCTCAAGTTGATCAATTCATTTGATAGAAAATTGATCAACTTCCTGTTACTTTTAGATGAGCCAACAGTGTTTCCACACTCAAATTTAAAAACTCCTTTTTCTGAACCTTAAAATTCCTTATTTTCAGCCGAAAGTCCTTGCAAAAATCTTTAAGTTTCCTTGTAGACTTCCCTGCAGACGCCCACCGAAATTAGTGTGGTTATTTTCACGTTTTTAACATTTTTAACATAACTTTTAGTAGACATGTGTATTTATATATACTAAAACTGTCTGTACCAGTGTTGGTAGTACCAAAGTGAAAATGCTGTGCTGAGTTGTTATATTACTATCTTAAAAAATAAGCAGAAACTCAACATTTCGAGCGAAGGGCCTTAGCTCGAAACATCAAGTTTCTGCTTATTAAACGAAACGTCGAGTTTCTGCTTAACTCTTGACGAAGGGCCTTCGCTCGAAACGTTGAGTTTCTGCATATTTTTTAAGGTAGTAATATAACCACTCAGCACAGCATGTGTATTTATATACATATATGAGTACTAAAACATAATAATTTAAAAAACGTGCATTGTTTCAACTGAACTGCTATTATTTCGACTGTATATATTATTATGTTCCAAATTCCAATTCCCAAAATGTAAAGGGGCAACATTCAACTATAAATGTGTTACATCAACACTGTCACTGTTTTCGTGCTCAATATGTTAAAAATCGTTTTTACAAGTTTTTGTCACAAGAATGACAAGACCAATTAACTAAATAGTTTGTCCAAGAATTGCTTTTTTAAAGATTTAGCTTCTCCATCAAAAGCACTGGATTTCATTTTAGAAATCAGCTCCAATGCAGCCTTCACTGGTGTAAGGGTGGCTGCATTATATCTGCCATTCTTAATTGCTAACTTACACTGTAGCAGAGAAACCAATGATGAAGATTTTAAGCGTGTCCGATCATCAGTCTTGATTCTCTTCAATAAACTAAACAGCCTCTCAACAGGTGCGTTGGAGAATGGAAATGAAGCCACTACTTCAACAAATTTTGTCAAATTTGGATATTTTGGCTCTCCCGAAGACACCTTGGCATCTCTAACAATCAGCCAATATTCCTCCCAGGTGAGGTCAGGGTTGAGCTTTTCTTCAAACACATGCTCTCTCCATTCACCATCAAGCTTCTCAGTATCTAATATGGTATTTAGATGTGGCAACTTCTTAACAACATTTGCTAGGGAAGATGGAACTCGGGCTGCAGCTCTCCCAGGCAAAGTGCACTGGACTACATCATGAATCTCGGCACCTAAATCAAATCTTCGTTGGATCTGCTCAATACTTTCAATGAGAAAGTTCCTGCAATTCTCTAAAAAATTATGCATGTCAACATCATCTTCACTTGTGGCCTGCTGTATTTCATTTATGGTTGTAGTGGCTGCCAAACCAAGGTAGACTTCATGCAAGGGAACATGGAAACTGACATTTTTAGGATCAACGTCTTTCGGGTTGGTGGCTTTGACATGACGGACATCCATAAAATCAGCTGAAATAGACTTTATGAGTCCTTCCACTTCATCTTTGAGGCTTTGCAAAAGGGGTCTTTCGCCTTGTTTTTTAAATATTAAATCATTAAATCGCTGAAGTTGGAAACTTAGAAATTCCAGGTAATCCAAGGTGTAATTGTTGTGGAGTAACTCACAATGCGGTCTGTAGCATATGTGGGATCCATTGAACTAAAATATATGGAACGCTACCTTAACTGAACATGCCCAGACTTGCCTGAAGCCAGATTTTACCTCCAGACACGTGTGTCTGGAGGTAAAATTCACTGCACGTTTCCTGCGTGGTGCCGAAGAACAGCGACAGCCAACCAACATGCATTATAGCAACATGTGATTGAAAAGGAAGGCAATTGGTTAAATTTTCATTCAATACAGTACGAATCATAACTTTTCATACGTGTATTAGATCGGTAAATCGGGGAAATGAAACATTTTTTTCGTTCAAATTGAATGTGTGCACAAACAACATGGATCAGAGATTCAAAGTGGTATTGTAAAGTTGTAAACATGTAAGTGCCTTTACTAAATTTATTAAATATGCATGAAGCTCAATCACATCTGTAACAGTGTAACTGAAATTGTATGTGATTTGAGGACAGTTTGTCTGCCAGGTTCAACCCTTTTCAACCCTTGTTCTTGAATATTCTGAAGCTCTTACCAGGGTCGAGTATCACAAAGACATATTTGGTTGTTGGATTCTTAAAAGAGCTTTTGATGGATTCATAGTTACCAGAAAATTTGCAACCCAGTGTTTTGAATGTACTAATGTTAACAGCTGTGCCATCAGCTGTTACTGACCACACTTTTAGATTAGCATTTGCAGCTTTTTCAAGACACTTTTTACCAGTGTGGCTTGGTCCTTTGCATTCATTTTATCAGCCAAGAGGTATCCCACTGGACATTTCCAATGACTTCTGGTGCCTACCAGAAGAAAAACCAAAGCTTCTGTGGCCAATTTTTCTAAATGTTCATTAGGAATCTCATTTCCAAAGTCTACAAATCCGTAGGAGTCTTTTTCTGGATTCCAAATGGTTTGTTTTCGGATAGACATTGCATTGCATCTATTAACAAACAGTAATCTTTGTCAGTATTTGATTGGGCTAGGCTCGGGCTCGGCTGATAATGCTTACCTCAACCACAGAATACTACACAGAAGTCCATCTCCATTGTTTTTTGCATAAGCGTGATTCGTCATGATTCGTCACTCAGCAAGTACCGTAAACAGAAGCAGTCACCCCCTGGACATGCACCATTTTTAGTATTTCCAGGGAGGGACTGCTTCTGTTTATGGTGGTACTTGCTGAGTGACGAATCATGACGAATAGAGCTTATGCAAAAAAGCAATGGAGATGGACTTCTGTGTAGTAATCTGTGCCTCAACCTTCTGAGAAAGAGATGAGAATGCCTCATCAATAAAGCCTGGATCACACTTGAATGAGGAATATATATTTTTTGCTGTAATTTTGTGTGTAATTCATCACTTGAGATACATCTTGGTCTTTTTTTCTGAAATTGAAGGATCATTTTCATGTTCTGGACATGGTCTCATGGTCTGTTCCTCTGTTTAATTCCTTGTCATGTGCTGTTAATGTTGGTGGGTCAGAATGAACAGGTGAACCAGATGGAAAAGCATATTCTTTGAGTCGACATGTGTTGTTGGATGGAGGCAAGATATAATCAGTTCTGTACTGGTTGACTTGTCATGGCTTTTTATTAACTTTTTTAACATTATTCTCCCATCATTTTTGTAAAGCATTATTTTTCAAAGGAAATCCATAACAATAATTATAATTTTTATGTAAATTCAGCTTAATTGTCACCCTTCTGTCTGTCTGCTTGTCTTACTTTTTTTGTTGTTGTAGGTGATGTACACATGTCAAAAATTGGAAACAAATTTTGCTTCTCGGGAAACAAGAATGTTTCCTACCAAGTTCAGACTAAGATTATAGTTGCGGAAACATTGTCACTCCGTTTGCCCACCTCGGCCGGCTTGGGAACATTGGCAGGAAATAGTAAAGTAAACAAAGAATAAATAAATACCTGTGAAATGTGAATTTTTAGTAAAGTAAACAAAAAATAAATAAATACCTGTGAAATGTGAATTTTTAGTAAAGTAAAATGAATAAATAAATACTTATAATAATAAATAAATATTGTGAAATGTGAATTTTTAGTAAAGTAAAATGAATAAATAAATACTTATAATAATAAATAAATAATAATATACAATCTATTTCTTCTTAATAATAATAATAATATACCATATTTATACAGGTTAAACTTGGTCAGCTAAAAAAAAATAGCTGCTATCACTCAAGGACCTGTTTAAATTAGATAGTCTATCCTATACTTATATATTAGCTAAAAAATTTTGGCGTCAGCATTTATATAAAAATATTTAAAAATCCACTAATCAGTTTTCATAAAAAAGTTTCTACACTTTTACTTAAAACGTAAAAGTTATGTCTCATTCCTCAAATTTTCTGGCAGTTCGTTAAAAACCAGAGCTCCTTGGAACGAGAACATCTTGTGACCAGTTTCTGTTTTCACTTTTGGTAGTCTCAATTTTGAGTTGTTTCCTCTCGTTTCTTTCTGGTGGGAGAACTTGTTAAAAATGCCATTAAATTGATTAGGTACTAGGCCATTTAGACACTTAAAAACTTCCTGTGCGCGGTGAAGTTTCCTAACATTTCGTATTGAACACCAGCGATTAGGTGTTACGTTAGTACCATATACGATATTGACAGCACGATCTTGAATTTGCTGAAATCGATTTACAGTGGTATTTGATATACCATGAAATAAGTTACCACAGTATCCAAGAGTTGGTTCAATCATAACTTTGTATATTTTCTCGGCAACATATGGACTGACATTCTGTCGGATATGTGATAGCAGTTTAACTTTCGCAGATGCCTTTTTGATAGTCCTGTCAGTATGACTGTTGTTTCTCATTCATGGTTCATAAAGGTTGTTATCGGCATGTTTTAAAAAAGGTCGGTCAAAAGTACATATGAAAGATTTTTATTTTTCCACACTCAGGGACAAAACTAGGTTTAAAAAACAAAACAAATAACGTACGTGTAAATTCTAAATAAAAACTAGGCATAGTTTTCATGAATTTCATTAAAAAGGCAAAGTTTATTCAATAAAAAAGATCTTTCGGCAGCGACGTGATTGATATTTTAAAACAATTCATAAAATCAAATTGATGCTTGTGTTTTGGCCGCGCGTATTTATCGCAGGAAAATACTTGGTTCTAACCGGAAATTGCGGCTTCAAACTTCCGGCTGCACGTAGCATTCCATATATTTTAGTTCAATGGTGGATCTTCATTAGCAACCAGGACAAAATAGTGTTGTAAAGCCACGTACTGTTCCAAAATGCGGTTTACACATGCTTTCAAAGAAAGCCAATGTGTTTGACCTGGTGAGAGCAATTGGAGGGGTCAACACTGAAAAACTGTTGGAACTCCCGGTAGGTATCTTGCCTTTTCGATGAGCGACTAAAATGGGAGAAGACATCTCGACACAAATCTTCTAAACCTTTCGGCAATTTGAGGGCTGCTTGAGAAGATGCCAGATGAATCAAATGACATCAACACTTAACTCTGATGACATCTGGAAAATCTTTCTTTAAAAGTTGGGCAACAGAATTGAATTGTCCAGACATAACATTGGTTGTATCTGAAGAATAAGCGATGATATTATCCACTGGAACATGGAGATCAGCGAACGATTGCTTAACTGCTGAGTAGATGCTGTTAGCTGTCCCATCTTGGACTTCAATCATGTCAAGCAAAAACTGCTTTGACAGGAAACTTTCCATATCGAAATAGGTGGCAAGAATTGCAAGCTGTTTGGCTGTGCTTTTATTGGTCGTTTCATTGATAATGAAGCTGAACTTTTGAGAGCGCAATGTAGATACTGCTTCCTTTAAATAGTCAAATCCGAGGACTTGTCGTATCACATTGGTTGCCTTCTGCTTCCCAAGGGTAACATTCTTGAGAGTGTTATCAAGTGGAAAAGCGATCTTAGAAATTCTAACATATCATTAGAAAGAGATATTGGTAAATTATGTTTGGCAAGGAATGCACATAATTTTATCTCCATTGAACTTGATTCCTCTCGACTTGCAGCTTTTGTGAAAAGGCTAATGATTGTGTCTGTATTTCCAGCAGTATTACTCCGAGTCTGGTGTGAAGTGGTGGTTACTTGTTTCTTCAAAGCAGTCATTGAGCAAGACAAAAATTTATCACAAAACTTGTAGAACAGCTGGGCAGTGTTATCTCTTCCAATTCTTTTGCACAGCCACTCTTTGAACTGTTTGCCAGTCAGCCAGCTGTCTACAAAACCTTGAACTTGCTTTGAACGTTTACGTTTGATTGTTGAATGTGAAGCATGACTGCTATTTCCTACTTCTTCCTCCAAAGATGAATCAGAATCATCCACATTCATGACATGATCGATTAGAATTTCACAAAGATAAATCGCTTTTAGTATTTACTGGCCAGTGAGTAAACCGTACAGACCACTGAACTATATGTACACTGGAATAATCTGTGAGAGAAGTTATGGGAATTGTGCATATTTACAATGTTTACCGACTGTATATTGTTATGTTGTCTAGCTAGGATTGTGTTTTTGTTCTCACAACCACTTTATTCTACAATTGATTTTTACTTATTTTTTCTCATTAATAGTTTTTTGCACTGTTTTACAAAATATTATAAATATCCTTGCAATTTCCTTGTGTTTTTCAACTTTCAAGGAAACATCCATGCAAGTGAAAACAATGTGAGCCACTTAGATTTTATTTCAGAACCGATTGACCAATAGGAAACGCACAGTTAGTAAAAAAATTGAATTAGTATGAATTGATCAATTTGAGGAAATGAATTCATGCAATATTTTATCAACACTTCCATTGCATCGACAGTAATGGCATGGTTTTTACCATGTGGGAAATTTATAAAAAACAATGATGGGAGTTCAGTTTCCATGCAAAAATCCATTTACTGGAAATTTAAATTTTTTCCTTTGTTAAATGGCAGTAAATTTGTCTGGTGTTAGACGGAGTAAAATAGTAAAGTAGTGGGACGCAATAGGGTGAAATATTGCATGAGTTAAATGAATAGAATGGTAAATAAGCACTAGGGATACTCAATCGTTAAGATATTTTAAAAGCTATTTGCAGGATTTCTTTGACATTTCAACTTATGAGAAACGCTATGATTATGCACTAGATAGATATAATTCTATTCTTCATGCTCGACTTCACTTGAATTGTTGTGCTTTAAACTACTATCTTTTCAAAATTAATTGTGTGATATCTCCAGCGTGTAATTGTGGGTTCAATTGTGAATCTGTAATTCATTATTTTTTATATTGTCCCCGATATGCTGCTCTTAGGACTTTCTTGTTAGCGGCCATGGTTGAAATCTTGGGAAGCGGCTGGTATCACATGTCCAATTCTTCTAAAACGAAAATGTTTTTGTTTGGATCTGAGAATCTGACTTTGAATCAAAACAATGCTATTTTTTCCATGTACAAACGTATATCAAAAGATCGGAGCATTTTGCAGTTTGTAACGACTAATCCAACGGCTTCTCAGGCTGTCTATCCTATTATTTATACTACCTTTTTATATAATGTATTTAAATGTAAATTGGTGTGAGCCCCCTAGATGAGCTTATATAGTTAAATGCATAAATATGTTTGAATAAAAAAATACTAAACTTTAACACAAGTTATAGCAATCAACGACTGATTTAAGAAAGCTTGAAAAAATTACTATCCAGCGGATAGGCTTGAAAAATATGCCTGGCCACGGTGGGAATTGAACCTATGACCTTCGAAATATTGCATCTCGAACCGACTGGACTGCGTAGCTCAGTTGGCAGAGCATTGGGCTAGTATTCCACAGGTCGTAGTTCGATTCCCACCGTGGCCAGGCATATTTTTCAAGCCTGCCCGGTGTGGATACACACTCAGAGTAACATCACAAGCATCTTATTCACCTGAGTACACTACACCAACACAACAAATATCATAATTATTAGATTAAATTGATATAGAAGGAACTAGACTCAGTTCCGAAATATCGCATCTCGAACCGACCTGACCGCGTAGCTCAGTTGGCAGAGCATTGGGCTAGTATTCCAAAGGTCGTAGGTTCGATTCCCATCATGGCCAGGCATATTTTTCAAGCTGCCCGCTGTGGATACACACTTAGAGTAACATCACAAGCATCTTATTCATCTGAGTACACTACACCAACACAACAAATATCATAATTATTAGATTACATTGATATCGAAGGAACTAGACTCAGTTCCCAAATATCACATCTCGAACCGACCTGACCACGTAGCTCAGTTGGCAGAGCATTGGGCTAGTATTCCAAAGGTCGTAGGTTCGATTCCCACTGAGGCCAGGCATATTTTTCAAGCCTGCCCGGTGTGGATACACATGCAGAGTAACATCACAAGCATCTTATTCACCTGAGTACACTACACCAACACAACAAATATCATAATACAAATATATTTAGGCACTAACATAATAACATGTGTTGCATTTTATGTTATATTATGGCAGTTAACCCATTGAATCGCAATACACCCTGATGCGCCCTACTTTATGATTTTAGTCTGTCTAATACCAGACGATTTTACTTGTCAATAGGACAGCGCTGGTGCTTAATGGGTTAAGATACTGATGTGATCTGCTTTCTTGCACTTCACTTGGTGGAATTAAAACCCTAAAAACAGCATCCTAATAAGATACTCATATCCTGCGGTATCTAAAGTGACATATCTTACCTGAAACAGGTATAATATTGGAAGCTAGCAAGCAATTCTGGGTTAAGAATTTTTGCAATTTCACAGAAATCCTTGTCCCTGCGGTCAAACCATGGAAGTGTCATTGCACACATGGTGCAGTAATCCAATCAATTTGTCCTAAAACAATTGTAAATTGTTCAAAACAAATGTATATGGATTTAAAAATCAGTCAGTATATAACATTTTAACTCTGGTTAAAATTTAACCTGCTGTTTTGGTTTTTGTATTTCTACATGCTTACTCATTTTATAACTTTGAAAAATAGAAGACAAGATTTGTAGTAGAAAACTATCCCCATGTTTACAATCCACTTTTAGGAAAGTTTGTTTTGACATTTTTCATTAACCCAGGTTAAGCTAAAAACCAAGTACCTTCATAACTTTCAATGCTTCCTTCATTAGAGGTAGAATTGTCCTTTCTACACGCACTGGCACAGTACCAGAAATGCCTTATCATATGGCTGGACCAGTCTTTTACTTTCAACATCGCTTTTGGCTTGCTCAACTAAAATCACATATACTAATTTACTATTTTTGCACAAGTGAACATAACAAATCACATTCACTCGAACAGATCATTGTGTCACCAACAAGGATCACTGAAAACTTGCAATCAATGATAGATTTAATCTTCGTAAACAATCAGCCACGTGTTGTTTCAAGCGGAATTTACCCATTATCGATCAGCGATCATTCACTTATTTATTGCTCGATTAAAGCAGGAGTCCAAAAATCAGGCGGATGTCATCGAGACAATAATTACCGTTGTTATAAGCATTACGACAAAAGTGCTTTTGTTGATGATTTAGAAAAATCTGATTGGATTTGTTAGACGACATTAATGAAATCGTAAATAAATGGTGCGACACATTTTCTGAATCAACCAATAAACATGCCCCAATTAAAATAAAAAGAGTAAAAACGACTGTGAAAGCGCCATGGATGACTTCTGAACTTCTTGAACTTATGTGTGAACGTGACTTTCATTTAAAACATGCCCAAAAATCTAACTCCAACTACCACTGGAATACCTACCGTGAACTCAGAAATTTCATAAACCAACAAGTTAAGATATGTAAATCCAACTACTACCAAAATCTCATCACTAGTAATAAAGATAATCCTGGTGAACTTTGGAAAACCATCAATGAAATTACTTCCCGCAATCCAACTAAAACCACACCTTCGTGCATTATTTCTGAAAACATCCCAGTGAACGAACCCCGATCTATAGCAACCATCATGAACGACTATTTCACGTCCATAGGGTCTAAACTTGCAAATAAAATTAAAGATCAATTAAAACCAAAGTTATGTGCGTCTACCACTACCGTTCCCCATTCATTCAAGTTCGAAGAAGTCGACGATTTAATTGTGTTTCAGGAACTGAGCAAATTAAAAACTAACAAGGCCACTGGCCTAGATGGGATTAGTGCTAAACTGCTTAAAGACACCGTTTGCATTATTGCACTAACTCTCACAAAGATCTTTAATCTCTCGCTACGCTGTGGTTCATTCCCCAACATCTGGAAGAAAGGTAAAGTTACCCTCATTTACAAAACTGGCGATCCAACGTCATCGAACAACTATACACCCATCACCATTCTACCAACTTTGAGCAAATTATTAGAACGTATAGTCCACTGTCAAATTTACAATTATCTACAAGAGCATAAGTTATTGGCTTCTGAACAATTCGGTTTTCGCTCCAAACTCTCCACCACTGTCGCCCTGGCTCACTTTACTGAACAAGTAATCGTTAACCTCGATAACAAAAAGATTACGGGTGCCGTTTCCATTGACCTACGAAAAGCATTCGACACCGTAGATCACACAATCTTGCAGGAAAAATTAAAATCGATTGGATTCTCTACCTCTGTTCTTGTATGGTTTACATCATACCTATCAAATCGCACTCAAGTAACAACCATCAACAATTCAATGTCTACGCCTAAACCAGTTACTGTTGGTGTTCCGCAGGGAAGCATTCTCGGACCTCTTCTCTTCCTAATTTACATTAATGACCCATCTGAATGCCTCAAACACTGCAAGTCGATACTCTATGCTGATGATACACTCCTATACTATTCTGCAGACAATATCTCAGAACTTCAGTCAAAACTCAACTCCGACCTTCAATCCCTCTCCACTTATCTGAATCACAACCTCCTAACACTCAATCATGACAAGACGAAATTTATAATCTTTGCTGGCAGACAACGTTTAAAAACAATTTCTAACCTCGACATCACTATCTACGATCAAAAGATTAATCAAGATCACACATTGGAATACCTGGGTATCACGATCAGTGAAAATCTCTCTTGGAATGAATATATCGAGAACTTGATGAGCTAGATCAATCAAAGACTTGGAATATTATGCCGAGTCAAATCATTACTACCGTTAAATGCAAGATTAATTTTCTATACAGCTACAATTCTACCGTTATTTGACTATGCAGACATTATTTGGGGTGACAAGAACAACACTGCACTCATGAACGGTTTACAGACTTTGGAAAATAAAGCCGCTAAATTGATTCTAGATCTTCCTCCTCTCTCTTCAGCGACCGAAGCCCTCGCTACCCGTCATTGGTTACCTCTCTCCTCCCGCAGATATAAACATCGCTGTATCTTCATCTACAAATGTACTAATGGACTGTTTGATTTTGACTTTAAACTAACAACTGTATTCATTCCTACAACACAAGATCCTGCAACAACCTTCATCTTCCAAAAGCCAACACCAACTGGGGTAAACTTAGACAGACTTACTACGCTTCGATGGACTTCAACAATTTGAACAGCTCAGTTGCAAACATAAGTTCTCTGTCTCAATTTAAGACTCAATTAAATCTACTTCGTACTTAGACACAGTTATTGCATGCTTGATATATTTGCTGCTGTAGGCAGCCACCTATTCTTGACGATGTGTTTTTCTTGCACCAGTCCGTTTCCGGTTGGCCGAGTTATGTATAGCCGAGCGACAACTCGATTTTATTTGCATGTACGAATGTACGGATGATCAGATTTATGACGTATTTTGACGTCACAGAAATTTTAAAAAATAACATACTCCAGATCGCGATTTGACTTTCCGAATACCCGGGTTGAGACTTACGAACACCACCATGGACTATTACGATTTGTAAATAACATCACCTTGTGCTGTTGTAAATTTTGATTCCAGCTTGCTGCAAATTTTATGTCTGGCTGTTTATCGAAATATTATTTTACGTCTGGCTGTTTATCGAAAATATTGAAGGTAAGATGAAAGTTTGATTACAAGTAACAACGTATTTTTGTCGAATTATTTTACCCATTGAAGCGAATGAATCAACTGTAATTTGTATTTTTATTAAATTTTTAGGTATCATACAACTCTTCATATATGCCACTGTTACAAACAAAATCGGCAAGCCATTGTGCCACTGCCACACAATCAAATCAGCAAGCCATTGTGCCACTGCTACAAACAATATCGGCAAGCCATTGTGCCACTGCCACACAAATATTAAATCAGCAAGCCATTGTGCCACTGCTACAAACAAAATCGGCAAGCCATTGTGCCACTGCCATACAGTTAAATCAGCAAGCCATTGCCATTGTGCTAATGCTACACAAAATAAGCAGATCATTTTACTTAAAACGTTTTAATCAAGTGATAGTGTTATTCACTCAAATGTCAGGCTATATTGTGTATGTTCCATTGTTGTTGAGAATGGCAAATGATGTAGAGGAAAATCCTGGACCCATAATATATGATGTGGTTGATCCAACTAAAACAATATGTGCAGATTTTAGCCAGGGAAATATAAAAAAGTTTCGACAAAATGCTGGTAAACAATGTTTAGCAATGTCTTTGACTGCGATAATATATAATTATATCACAAATGCAAATACATGGGATTCAACTGTATTAAATTCAATACTGTGTGCTGGAAATAACCTTTATTCTTTTATAAGCAATTTTGTTAACAAAAGCTATTTGCTTTTGACTGACGTGCCTGAAATGGTTTCGGTTTTTGATGGCATTTATTGTATGCAATATGGTGACCCGTTTGCTGGTGACTTATTCATGGCAAATACTGCTCTACCTTATTATTCTATAGAGAATGCTCTTAATAATCTGTTCATGGAAACTCATTTAAATTATCAACATTGTATGTTGACTATTGGTTCTAATACTGTTGCAATTTTTAAGACTTGTGAAGGAACCTTTAAAGTATTTGATTCTCATTCAAGAGATTTATATGGGATTCCACACCCTTTTGGAAAATGCATATTAGCATCTGTTGATAGTATAGAAAGCCTGGTGATATATTTCCAGAGTACTGTACCTCCAAGTAATGAAACACCCTTTGAAGTTAAAGGAGTAACTGTTTTAAATTGCAAAAGAGCATGTAAAACAAAAATGTTCAGAAGAAACTGAGAGTCAGAAACAAAGCAGACTGGAAAATGCTAGAAAGTATAAAAAAGCAAAGCAAACAGCAGAGACTGAAACTGAGAGGCAAACTAGACTTGAAAATGCTAGGAGTATCGAAAAGCAAAACGAGCTTCAGAAACTGAGACTGGGAAACAAACTAGACTTGAAAATGCTTGGGAGTATCAAAAAACAAAACAAGCTTTAGAAACTGAAGATGAGAAACAAACTAGACTTAAAAATGCCAGGGAGTATCGAAAAGCAAAACGAGCTTCAGAAACTGCACATGAGAAACAAACTAGACTTGAAAATGCTAGTGAGTATCGAAAAGCAAAACAAGCTTCAGAAACTGAAAATGTTAGAAATTATGAAAAAAGAAAACGAGGACAGGAAACTGGGATTGAAAAGCAAACTATAGTTGCCAGTGCTAATCCGAACAAGAGAAAACGTTTGTGTGCTTCTACTCAAATTCTAAATCAGCAGGATTATTTAAACAAATTTGACATTGAAAAAGATGGTAGTATTCATGAACAGAGTTGGGCAAAAAATAACATTAATAAATTTTCTAAATCTATTGAATTCTTTATTAATCAATGCACTATATGTCAAGAAGCATGGCCACTGAACTCTAAACCAAGGTCACCTGATTGTTATATATGTTCTCGATGTGCTCGAGACACAAAATCTCCCAGAAAGTTTTCACATGAAAATGCAATGATTCCTTCTCCAGTCCCAACCGAGTTACAAAATTTAACGCAAGTAGAGGAAATGTTGATTGCTCGTGCTCTTCCTATCATGAGAGTTTACATTAAGCCCGGTGGACAACGAGGTTACTCGGGTCATTGTGTTAATTTGCCACAAAATGTTAAGGAACTTGCATCATCATTGCCAAGATATCCAAAAGACTTGTCAGTGATTATTGTCAAGGTCAAAGGTAAAGATAACTCATTTAGAGATGTTTCTATGAGAAGAAAAAAAGTACATAATGCATTATTATGGCTTGTGCAAAATAATCCTCATTATGCTGAATTAGAAATTAATGAAGATGCATTAAACTGTTTACCTGAAAATGGCATTCCAGCAGATCTCATGATTGTTGAGACTGAAAATGAAATAATCTCAAATGATGATGTTATGTCAGATTTAGGTCCACCCACTGAAAACCCTTCTGAAGATATAGTTTATAACAACTCTACAGACATGAATAGTTTCTTGCCTGTCGGTGAACAGCAGGAACAAGAAATAGAAGCAGTTAGAAATCAGCTTTCTGCAAATGAACCAATGACATGGCCCACTATTGAAAGCGAACCA